TTTATAATATAAAGCTTATAGCATAAGTATTCACCACTCATAACTTGCTATAGTGCACCCTTGGCTGAGCAGCTATACCTGCACTTACATTGAATGACGGGGCTTTGAATAAACAGAACACTTCTCATGTGAATTGTGTTTTCTAGTTTTACCCTTAGATTTTTTTCTAAGTCAAGAATTTAAAAAGTATTGAAGATTAAAATCACCATTGTTACTTCAATTTCTCTAAAAAAGTATCAAAGTACGCTTTTCTTTTCAAATGTTCTTGACTGCTGTTCAAAGGAAATCATGCATTAAAAGAGAAGGCAACAAGATACAATTTATTTTCTTTTGCTATTGATTTTATATTCTAGAACATTAAATGTTCAACAGGGTTTAGATACCATGAAAATAAAAATATGGCTCACTTTTAGTCTTGTGACTAAGTCAAAAGACCTCTCATTTAATTCCTAGGAAAATTATAAATACTAAATTATAAATACTGTTTTCCAGGCAGTAGACTCTGTTTTGACAAGCATAGCACTAAGCTACAGTGTACTTTTAATACATTCGTGTAAGAAATGATAAATTATACCATAAAAAGCCTCTCTCAATGTATAAAATACTTTATAGCTTGATGCATGACATTATTCTGATCAGATGTGACCTGAAATCTCAAGGAAGAGTAATGCAAATTCTTCTAAAGAGTGACACATTAAAAGGAGCTGCAGAAATGTAGAAAAACAAATCAACTATGGGGATACATGCTGGCTTGTTTTACATTAAAGGAATAAACTGCTATATTTCAGTTAAGATCTATTTTTATCCATATAATTTCCTTTTTGTTCTTATGAATGTGTCTTTAAGGCTGAAATTAGTCAAATGACGTACAAATACTTGCACCTTAAAAAGGTTTATAGTAATAAAATCATATATTTGACATAGTAAATTATAAGCCCCTAAGCCACTTATTACTTCACAGAAAGCAACTTTTATTTGTCGAGAATACCATTTAAATACTTGCATATGCTAAATTAATAATATAAATTCTTTGTAGTAGATTTTTCCTTCAACTTTTTTTCTCTATTTTTGATTTGCTAGGCTCCAATCAGAAAAACCTCAGGAATCAATGATGTCAGAGATTTGTGTCTTCAACTCTCTTATGAAGAAATACTGAACTTCCTCCAAGGATTTACATAAAACTATTGCAAATAAAGGCTTATGAAATGCTCATCAGAAACAAAATACTTCAGTTCTGCGCAGCACATTAATCACGACCTGGTTTTGGCCATCCTGTGCTGTGGTCCTTGACACGGGCACTTTGCCTTAGGAATTCAAAACCTAGGATGCAATGAAGAAATGCAAAAGCAGCATTCTTTGTCCCCATGCATGTACTGCTGGTCTTGAGGATTTTTATTTGCTATAATACTACAAAGAGTAAGCTAAGTTTCCTGTGGAAAGCTGGAGCCACGGGAGAACATGAACACTGGTCCAGGGTTCCCTATTCCTTCCAGTCAATCACTTGGTAATTTGCAAATGATAGTCTTGTTTTGGTTTGGTGATTCTGATCACACTTTTACAGTTAATTTATGAAAACTGTTTTTATCCATACATAAATAAGGGAATCAGCTTCTGATATCTAAAATTTCCTTTTCGTTTACTTTGCGTCACAGCAAATATGAATTACCCAAAACCTAATCTCCAACTGCATACAACTTATATGATGATAAAGTGGCATAGTGTGAAGACTTCTAGCCACACTGTGGCTTCCCTTGAATTTATATCACGTGAACTATATGTCTTTTGCTATATTCAAAACTACTGCACAACATTACCCATAGCCACTGCAGCATTATTTTCAGCCTTTTTTCAAAGGTCATTAAACTTCTCAGCTTGCTACAAGACTCTGATAAAGAGTTTTGATAAAGGCTCTATACAGAGTATTTTAAAATGCTCTCTACAGATATAGTAATGGCAGGATGTGGATTTTCTGCACCTGTGCTCCCTATAAATATGAAAAGATCTCATAAATGTTCATTCATTAATTTTTAAACTATCCATCAGTGACTTGCAATGCTTTTCTTTGCTCATGATACACCAGCAAGTACAGATCCTGGAAACACAAGAAACATCCACTTTCTATTCCCCTTGCATTGAACCTCCCAGGTCAATGAGATGGCACCGGGACCAGAAGCAGCAAACGTGGACAGTCTGTGCATGCAAAGTGAAAAGGGCAAGGGATCTACAAAACTAAGAGCCTAGGTCTTCAGCAGCTGTTTATGGACCAATTGTCCATGAATTTAATTGCTTTAAGTCTACTTAGACTATCTGCCTATAAAACTCTGGCAGCAAGTTCCGAAAGTTTGTTACTTGCTGCATAGAAACACTTTGCCTGGCTTAAACCAACTACAACTATTGAGTGACCATTAGTTTTGTTACAAAATCTGATGCACTCTTCATCTACCTTTTCTAGTGTCTTCATGATTTTATAAATCTTAGTTATGCTCATTCGCAGTATTCTGCCATCTGAACAGAAAAGTCCCAACCATTTTAATCTCTTTTGGTAAGGATCCTAATTCATCTCCTTGGTTTTAGCTGCCTTTCTCCATACATGCATTAATTCCACTTCTGAAATGTTCTCTTTGAAATTGCATTCAAAATTTCAGATACACTAATACTAAAACTAAATTATAATATTCAAAATGTGGATCCGCCACAGCTTTATATAATAATAAAGTAACTTACATCTTATTTATAACACTGATTAGGTCTAACATTTTGTTGATATTTTGTATGCAACTGTGCAATAAGAGATAACGTTAGTGATGATATCAAGGTCTTTCCTAAATTTTAAGAGGAAATTCCAAGTTCAGGATCAAGGAGACATAGCTTCAGGAGATCTTTTTTTTTTTGTCAGATGCATTAACTCATGTTTATTTATACTGACATTCACTTGTCACCTTTCTGCCCACTCATTCAGTTTTCTGAGGTGCTTCTGGAGCTCCTTGCTGTCCAACATTTTTCCAGTAATTAAATCATTTCGCCATTCTAAAACACTACTATTAAGCATTGCTCTTTACCTCTAATCATCTTTCAACTAAAAATAATAATAATTATTATTAATTAGTCTCACAACCATTTATTTTTTCAATAGCTTTTGGTGAGGATCCTTTTCAAAAGCTTTCTGAAACTCAAAATAGTGTATGTTCCCTGAAACCCTTATCCATCTTCTTACTGACAGTCTTATAGATCTCCAGATTTCTCTTGGCAGAGGCACCTCTCTCCCAAGAGGCTGTGTTTATTCATGTGCTTGATCTTTCTCATCGCCTTATCAGTGTACCAAGACTGGAGGTCAGACTCACAAACACTTCCTATATATTTACTTTAAAATGATGTGAATCTTTTGACCTATCCACCAAAAAGTAGACACTGCGTAAGGAAATCACCTCAAAATACCCTGGAGTAAAGATCCATGCAAAGAATTTATTGGGCTTTAGCTATCTGATGAGCTTTTTTATTAATATGTTGGGTTTAATATAGCCTTGTGATTGTAAATGCAATGTCTATGTTTTTGTTATGAATTGATACCAGTGATTCCAAGATTTGGTTGTTTTTGAAGAACTGTCTTTCCAAATAACTTTTCAAATTAGCTCTTAATGTCTTGTGCAAATTTGATATACTGTTTTTAGGAGCTTTTCCATTTTTCTCATGTAGTTTTCAGTTTTTTCCTATATGGGTCTCCTAGATTTCTATTGAGCCATGTACGTTTTGGTTTGGCTTTGACAAGCTGGATTTCCTTCAGATTGCGGCAAACATATTACATGTGCTTTTAATATAAGTTTATTATTATTATTATTTTAAACAAGGTCTGTGCTATTTGGAGAATTCTTACCTTTTGGACTGTTTGGGGATTTTGCTGTTGTTGTTTTATTTCTTGAGGTTTTTACTAGGACTACTGGATCCACATCCTTCATGCATTTGTGAGGTTTGCTGCCTTACCACTGATATGACACGCAGTCTTCAAGGAATCTCACCCAGATGTATATGTGTTTAATAAGTGAACCATCCCCGAGAATGATCTCTCAGTGAGAAGGGACACCATAAAGCCAGCTGGGGAAATGGCTTCGACTTCACATCATTCCCTAGCAGCCCTTCTTCCCCCTGAATAATACTCTCCTGAGCACAACAGTTTCCAACACAGGGGAAATGGGACTTTTCTATAACATCCCTGTTTGCTTCCTCTATAAATGTGTCCATTTTACTTATCTACTCTGCTTCAGTCACTGCACATTACTCATGAAGAGGAGAACTTTGCACTGAAAAAAACACATACAGACATGATCCCAGGGCAGAAAATTAATTGCTTTCTGAGCAATGGATGAAGCAGCTCACATCAGTTGCTGGATTTCTACCTGCATCCTGTGTTCAAAACTGTACCAAAAATTACAAGCCTAGAGATTTCTCATGTCTCAGGGAAAAAGTGGGAGCATTGGGCCATTTGACACTACAATGACTGACAGGACTTTGACCCCAAAAATACAAGTTTCATGTTTCAGTTTCAACCTTGAAATCAAACAAACCAATATGACAACAGAGAGCTCAGGTGCAAAGGTCTGTGGAAGAAGAATTATGCTGAACAGCTACAGGTTTCTTTCTAAAAATGTTTGGGTTGCTCCACATTTCTGAATCTTCTGCACTTAAGGCACTGCACTAATCTCCACCACTTGACAAAGTCCAGAGGACCTTCTTTATAATTTGTCTCTCAAGATCCCCATTAGCAATCTCACCTGTTCTCATACTGCTCTTATGGCCTTATTTGACTAGCAAATCTAATGTACCTAAAAATGCTCTTTTCCTTACTACCTTCCCTGCTTTCTTCCCACCCCTCTCTCTTTTTTTTTTTTTTTTTTTGTGGAAATATTTGTAGGAACTAATAAATACGACATTCTGTTTTTAACAGTCAAAATTTCTGCTTAAGAAAACAGTGGTTTTACAAATATTTGAGAGTTACAATATTGTACCTTCTATCATCTCCATACCACTAGGAGGCTTACAGTGTCCGGCATGGCTCACAACCCAAACTGGGTACTGCTGATTTAGTCCACAATATAGGGCCTGTATAAAAGTCCTGTAGTAACCTGCCAATCCAGGGTTACCTGCCAAAAGAAAAATATAAGCACAGTCAATATTAAGTTTTCAACAGGAAGCAATACAGTTCAAAGCAAACTAAGCAGCATTATTCATAAATTTGTTCTATTTATTTTTCTCTAATTTGCTTTTAATTTTTATTCTCCCAATTCTAGAGGATGTACTGCTGACCTGCTTTAATTCCATTTATCAACAGCACCAATGACAACGATAGGGTAGCAATACTTTGAAATTACAGAAGCTAAAACTGAAGCCCTGTAACAAGAAAAACTCTTTTCCTATTAAAGCTCAAGCTTATCTATTCCATCCGAACATTCTCAATGAGAGAAAATTACTCCTATATAAAGACACAAATTTTATAAAACAATCAAAAAGAATATTATGTACCCCACTTGAGCCAGGCATCTCAGCGCAGAGGCCGGTATCTCTACAAAGTTGGTTTGCCCTGAAAGAGTTGGACAATTCACTATAAATGCATTATGTAGCAGCACTATAATATTTATAGTCAGGTGCCACCACTGAAATAATACAGCAGAGATTAAAGATCAAAATATATACATGTCAGGAATTCCAAGCTTTCCAAGAAAACATTCAATCTCTGTCCTTTTATTTTTGTCCTTAGGGTATCAGCAGGGGCAAAACACCGAAGGACTTGGAGAATAAATTCCAATGAAGATGCAGCTAACTTTGGTTCCTGATTCTCTCAAGATGCTTAAAAAATCCATGCGTATAAAACAATTTATTTCTTCTTTTTTCTTTTTTTTTCTTTTTTAAGGAAAAAAATCCTACTGATTTCTCAGTAATCATGTAGACATCAAAAAATGCACCATCAAAAATATATCATATTCAGATCAGACAGGAAAATAAACTCCAGACGTCATCTGTCAAGCTCCTTGAGGTGATGCTTCAAGAAAGCCTGCCTTTCAGCAACCTATAAGATGGAAGTAGCAGTGACCCAAAAGCACATCTTGGGCAGTATATCTGATCATGATGTGTTATCACAATACTAAGTCCTGAAAACACACTGAAATAAGGTGTTCTGAGATCAAGAGATTCATATTAATCTTACAAACAGCTTTTTTCTCCACATTTTTTCTGGATTTATTTTCAATCTTTTCTTAAAAAATAATATGCATTTACAATACGCATATACTTATATTATATTACAATAATACCTATTATTGTAACATTTTTAAATACCCATGTTTACCTATGTTAAATATTATGTATTTAACAATACATATTCTATATTTAACAGCAGGCATTTACCAATACGTAGAAAGAATATGAAAAAAGTTTACCCACTAATACAGGTCAAACTTATATCTGCAAATTTAGTTGCCTTTTATGGTGTTAGTTCAGCTGTCATCTACTAAAAGATAACGAAGAAAAAAAAAGGATTCTTCTTCCTCTACCATTACAATAATAACTAATGGAGTTACTTGAATTTTAATATGTCCTGTGCTCTATGATCAACAATATTTTGGGCTTGTCTATTGCAAACAAAATATTTTTCAACTTAACAATATTATTTTATTTTTAAAGGAAAAGAACTAGCAGATTCACCATAGAGGCCTTGAGCCACCGCAGTGCTGCTTTGTGCTTTTAAGGGCTTCCCAGAACAACAAGGCAAAACTCTTCCCCTCCTGTCAAAAACTGGAAACCATGACAAAATGCGAGGTTAACCTTCGAGCTACTTCTGTTACTGAACACCAGAGCTATCCCGGCACCCATGCCCAGCAGCACGTCTCAAGTTGCAGGGAGCCATCTGAACCACGCAGCACATCTGAGGCAGCTACCCTCAAACACAGCTTAAACACAAGCATGCTTAGATAGTCCTGGAATCTTTTAACAAAAGCTGTAAGGAGAGAATGTAATGGAAAGACCCCAAAGACAAATACAATAAACTGTATATTATCTTAATATGCAGAAGATTTATAAGCATTTCGTATGGCTAAGTTACTCCGACAAGGAAAATCCTGCAGTGCATCCTGCAAATGCACCGGAGCACTTGATTTGCTATATTTAGGCACTCCCCTATCCAGAGGGCTCCTTTCATCTTCTCTGCTCTTTCCCAAGAGCACAGGCCACTTTGTGCCATTTTTTTCTGCATTAAGCCCAAAGTCATTCTGCTTTTTTGTGTGAAGATCTTCAAAAATGGAAATCCGTTTCTTCCTTTACTGGTCTGTTCAAGAGGTTAATCACTCGCACAGTTAAAAGTGGGAACATGACTTATTAACACCAACTTGCCTAGTTTTCATTTTCAAATAGCTTCTTGTTAGGGCTTCCTGCATTAAATTGAGATTTTAAACACCCACCACTTGTTTTTCATCTAGACAGATAGCAGAAGAGAGATGACAATTTGTACAAAATAAGCATCTGCCCCTGGATACCACTGATAAATAAAACCTTTTTTTTCTCCAAATTTCACAATTTCCTCTAGAAAGTGTCATAAGATCTAACATAGTCAATTTTAAAATGAACTACATATTAGTATCTGAGCTTCCTTGCTTCCAGGAGAAGCAAACTACATTCAGAAAATATAAACTTAAATACAGGATGCCATCAATGCAACACAATCTAGCGGCTTAATTCTGAATGTAAAGCAACATAAAATTGTACAGAATTACCGAATGGTTGAGGTTGGAAGGGACCTCTAGAGATCATCTAGTCCAAACCCCTGCTCCAGCAGGGACACCTAGAGCACGTGGCACAGGGTGCATCCAGGTGGGTTTGGAAGATCTCCAGAGAAGGAGACTCCACAAACTCTCTGGGCAGCCTGTTCCAAGGCTCTGTCACCCTCACAGGAAAGAGGTTCTTCCTCATATAGAGATGGAACTGCCTGTGTTTCAGCTTGCACCTGTTACCCCTTGGTGGTCAGAGGCCACCATCAAGAACAGTTTGGCCCCATCCTCCTTACATTCTCCCCTCAGGTACTTACACATATTGAACAGATCTCCTCTCAGTCTTCTCTTCTCCAGACTATACAGGCCCAGCTCGCTTAGTCTTTCCTCATAAGATAGATGCTCCAGTCCCTTAATCACCTTGGTCACTCTATGCAGGAACCTCTCTAGAAGTTCAAGTATGCACCTAGCTAAACTATTCACACCAGCTAACTTTAGGTTTCTTGCACCTTCTTCCAAATCAAGTTGCTGGGTGTTGAGCACTGTCCCACGAGCCCTTCCCCGGGTCTGCAGCCATGTCTGAGCCGTCCGACCATGGGCAGCAGCAGTCGCTGTGGTGCCTCACACCTGGCTCCAACCTTTGTCATCTCCTCTGGGACCTCAGCAGGACCATCAAGAACAGAAGGAGTCACACGAACAGAAGGGAACTACCCAGCCAATAGTGGCCTTATGGAGAACTTTGAGGAACTGGAAAATATGCTGGCAATTACCATGAATGCAATTTTAGAAATAATTCACAGTTTCACTAGTAAGTACATATACAATGGTATTTACATGAGAATCTGCAACAAAACCAAATGCAGAATTATTATTTTTTTTTAATGAGCAGCTATAAATCAAGCTTGAAATCCAGGGGCGCACAGCAGGACCATGAAAAAAAAAAAAAAAGTCATTTCTGTGGCAGCAACACTAACTGTCTCATCACTGAGCTGCCAAAGCTTCCAGCTCCAACTTGGACAATCTACATGACAAGTTCCTTGCTCAAGGAAACTTAATCCATCTTTGGCTTCTGACCAGCCACCATGGAAGAAGATGCAACTCCCCTCCGCTAATGAATGGAAAGTGGCCCACGCAGATGTCAGGAGGATTTAAATGGAGCATGCACAAGACACAATGATGTTCTCCCCCTTGGGAAAAGCTTGCAGAAACTGACACCACAGCTGAGGATCCGGCCTTAAAAGGAAGCACACAGGTTTCCATGATGTTGCAGGGTCAAGGAATTTCAAATAAAACATGGCAAATGGCATTTGAACGATGACGATACACTCACGTCAATTAAACTTTCACCTGCTGCACATCTCAGGGGCTGAAATCCTTCGTGCTCTATTCTGTTTATAGGTTGCACACCAGAGGAGCAACATCAGCCAAAGAGCAATTATAATGACCTTATGCAGAACCATATGTTAAACTTCTGTTTGATCCTGTTTGGAATAATGAATTTGGCTGGAAAGAGCCTTAATATATTTGCTTGAATTCTGAAAACAGGGATTCTCAGAAGGATTCAACCAGGTGCCTGCCATAATACCGTTTATTAGAGTGTTTTTTCTTCCAAAAACAAATTCCCATTTTTTCCCTTTATATATGTAGGTTTTGGTCTTGATAGAACTATCAGGCATGGATACAAGATTTTATAATACACATTATTTAAATACATTTTACAGAGCAAATCATCTTTCCTGTTATTCTCATGCTGTTCTCCTTTTAGGACAAACGTAGGCTCATTCGACTTTAAAGAGATCCCATGGATAGCCTAACAATCTGAGCTACGACAAGGGACACCTGTGCTGCAGAACTGTGAGCAAAAATTTCCAGCAAGACAGCACATACCTGTTTTCTCATATGAAAGATTAAGAGCCTCCACCTAGGGCAGGCTGAAGTCTGAAATTCTGATTTTCCCCACAGCAAACCACTGCAATTTGACATGGTTAACTAACATTGCAGTAGGCTAATGTACCATGAAATCCACATATATATTTCAATATTTGCCCTCTAATGTCTCAACCAGGTAACACACATACATAAATAACAATTTTATTAATACATTTTTAATATTCCTATAAAGTGCTAGCTCTTGGAAGAGAGTTAAGATTAAGGCTCCATTTTCTCCATAGCAGATGAAAAATAAAACATTTAATTAGATGGTGCACATCCACACATGCAAGGTCTCTGAAGTGTCTGCTCATGCAAATAAAAACAGATTTAACTCTTTTTAACAGGCTAGATGTGGTTAGTCTGTCTGATCCACAAGGTGCTACAAGTGATCTTTGCAAAGAGACCCAGGGGGAAATTTGCTGTCAACTCCAGCAGAGGCAGAACTGAAGCAA